AATTTTGCAAAAAAGTAATCCTTATTTTCAAATATAATTGTGCAAAGTTTTATTTAAATATTTTAGCATTTTAAAAAGTAAATCAGAGCTAAAAAAGTGCAAAAACGCAGGCAAATTTGCCTGCATTGGTCTACATATTGAGGGATAGGTAGTTGGTTTTTTCTTTTTCTGGCATACATCAAATATACTAATATAATTTTAATATCTGCTCTCATCTAAGGCCAATAATGAGTGGTAATTTTTTGTTATTAGTATAAAAGCCAAAATGTCCAGAAAGAGGGTTGTCATGCATACTGAAAAGTATGGCTTGGATTTCATCTTCCTTTAGGGCGTGTAATGGATATGTAAGAAATCAGAGATTATTTTTATATAATAACTTATCTAAAACCAAATAATGACAGATCTTATATTTTAAATCCTTAATTTTTTTAGGAGTTAGGTGAGAGAATACTATAGCATCTACAAGGCATTGAAGATAAAGTGTATATAATTGGGAGTCTATATTCACTAACTTGGTCTAATTCAGGATTGAAAATTTTTTAATTATTTTCTTTTAAAAAAAGAAAACAGGTAATATAAATTTTAGAAATTTGAAAAAGCATCAATAATGCCAGAACACTATAATCTGAACTAGATTTGCAGATTTTTAAAGAGAGTATATAAAAAATTCTGACAAACTTTTATTTTTGTCAGGTTTTAAAAATTTAATATTTATATTTATATTTTTTCTTTTTTTTAATTATCTAGAACCACAAGTACTTTATTGATGGCGACCTATTGAATCCAAGATAGGCTATCGATGTTAGTATGTTTTCTTCTGGGTTTGTGTATAGTGAAAAAATATAACTTATACATTAAAAACTAAATCTAAACACTACAACTACTAATATATAGTTCAAAGACCCTAAAGACTTCAAATTTGCAGACAGTAAGAGGTGTGGAGAGACTTGGTCTAAGTTTGGCTGCGGCATATTTGGCAGTTAAAATAAGTATAAACCCAAATTATACTTTTAATATTGGTTAATAAACTTGGACTAGAAGATAATTATAGTCCTTTTCTTAATTCAAAATTTTGTATATTTCAAGCTTCAATATGATTATTAAGATTCTTAATGATCGTTATGTATATCATGTGTGATGTCACTGCAATGATTGGTAGCTTAATATGATCTCAACGTTACAAGTAAGAAATTGGTAGATCTGAGGCTTAATTTGGATTAGCATCATGGGGTTCTTGCATCACAAAGACTAGTTTAATAATTGTTATACTATTTAGAGATAACAATTAGTTTTGAGTATTGTTAAGTATATGTATAAAGGTTTCAATTACAATCAATTTTTTATTTCTTGTCTATTTTTAAGGGTCAAAACTTAAGAGAAAAAGTTTATGTTTTAGGCCAGGTACTTAGAGTTGACACCTCTACTTGAATTTTGAAGGTCAAGACTCTCTACAGTTTATCAATTAAAACTGGATCAAGGTATATTTCTAACTAAGCATTTTTATGAGGAACAAGGAAAAAGGTAAGTGTACAATTATGGGATTACTTCTACTATAATAATTTCAAAGTATATAAAGTTTTAGAACTCCACTGAGTTATATTTTATTGATTGAAAAAGTACTCTTTATATAATTGTTTTTATATATAGAAAAATTTTTAAATACTATGTTATTTTTGCTATCTATTATATAACAAGAATAACAACTTATTTTTGTTATTTGTGGAATTCCCAATACCTACTAGATAACTAAAATTCTCAATGATTTTTGCCACTTGAACCAATAATTTGGGACTATTACTGACTATAATCTAAAATAGAACTAGTAGAGTTCATTTAACCTCTCACAACAGTGGTAAAAGAATATTCTATTAAAGTTATAACTCAACGAGCAAACTGATTTTGAGATAATTTAATATTAAAAGGATATTTAAGGGCTGAATGATTGGTATAGAGAATAAAACAGCTTCTATATAAGTAGAGATAGAAGTAGTCTACAGCCCATACAATGGCAAGGTATTCTTTTTCTGTTACAGATTAGTTTTTTTCAGCTGGCATAGAAAATAACTTGTTCTTATCCTAAATTATCTTTTTGAGACAAAATAGCTCCCAAGGCTATATCAGATACATCAGTAAACAATATGAATATCTTGGTAAAATCTGAGTAAGTGAGAATAGAGGCTGAGATTAACTTTTCTTTTAAATTTTTAAATACTTTTTGTTAATCTTCAGTTTACTTATAACTAACTTTTTTTTTAATAATTTATTAAGAAGAGCAGCAATATTGGTAAAGCTCTTAACAAATTTCTAATAATAAGAGGCTAACTCTAAAAACCTCTTAATTGCCTTAAATTTCTTGAAATAGAGAAATTTCTAATAGCTTCTACCTTAACTGAATCAGTAGCTATTCTGTCGTTATTAATCACATATCCCAAAAATTTTAATTTCTGGTGTCTGAAGTTATATTTAGCAGGCTGTAATTTAAGACCAGCCTATTTAAGCTGATTAAAAATTAATTGAAGATGATATAAATGTTCATCAAATGTTTTGGAGTAAACACTTATATTGTCCAAATAAATGACAACACATTTTTCAATAAGGTCTTGAAAAAGAAAATACATTAGCTACTGAAAAGTGGCCGGCATATTGGTTAACCCAAAAGATATGACATTAAACATGTAGATACCAAAAGGTGTGGTGAAGGCTATTTTAATTTTCATCTATTTCAAGTTGCCAGTAACCGCTAGCTAAATCCAGAGAGCTATACCATGTGGATCCATTCAATGCATCAAGTAAATCTTGAATTCATGGAAGAGGATAGTTATCCTTTTGGGTAACAGAATTAAGCTTACGGTAATCCATGCAAAATTGCATTTGGCCATCTTTTTTTGGTACTAAAATAACTGGCGAGGTTCAAGGGCTTTTACATGGATGGATAATCCCTTCTTTAATCATTCTGGCAATTTTATCTTTAATAACTTTCTTTTTGGCTGGGGAATACCAAAAGGGATGTTTCTTTATTGGCAGAGCATCCCCTGTGTTAACATGATGTTTTATGATGTTAGTTCAGCCTAACATTTTACCTTCCTGGACAAACAAGGTCAATTTTTATTCAAGAAAATTTTGGAGAAGTTTGCATTGTTTCTCTTCAAGATTACCTAGATGATAAGTGTTTTTCTTAATTATTTCTTCTCCATAATAGTAATCAAATAAATCGATAATCAGAATTCTTTTTCTTTTTCATTTCCTTCTACAAATATAAAACCATGGTGACTTGCTTAATATTCTCTTCTCGAAGATATGCATTCCTGGCAATATCATAGGAGCACTTGACAGCAGTAGGTTTATTTTTTTCTTCTCTTAATTTAAGTCATCTTCATGCTTCATCTATCATATTATCAGCATCTGAATCGTTAACACCAAATTTATACTCAGGAATTTTGGCTTTCCAAGCCAACTCATACCACTTAAAGCTAGAGTCACTTGATTCGTCCGATTCACATTCTAAGAATATTAAAGAAGGGCACCTTCAGGAACACTAATAAAAGGGGAAACAGATGTTCTATAGAATAGGTGGTAATATAAAAAATAAACTCCGCTAACAATTAGTAATCATTAATAAATATTTAGCGGAGTTGCGGAGTTTGTGGAGTTTGCCCACCTATTCTATAGATCATCCGGAGAAACTAATCTATTTCTTTTAGTAACCTGAAAGTTATTTGTGGAATAAAAATTTTGAGCCCTATTTTTAGGGATATCTGATTCGTTATTGGGGGCTAAAGAAAAACTATCATCAAATGAAATTTCAGGGAGTATAAAATCTAAAATATTATTATGTTCTTTAATATGTGAATATGGATTGCTATCAGTAATATTGCCGGGTAAGATTTTTGTTTCCGTATTAATAGAAACATTATTCACAAAATTTAAGTAATGTAGCTCATCGAAAAATCTTATTTAGTTAATGGAATCGTCAAGGGCTTCATGATCTAGCAAGAAAACAGTTCATTATTAATTAAATTTACTGTGTTTTTATATTGACGAGCGAAACTTTGGATTATAATTTTGAAAAATTTTAACATTCAGTGTCCAAAAAGAAGCTCGTTGAAAGAGATTTAGCTGTATTATAATTTTTCATTGGTCAAATTAATTCGTCAAGGGTTTATCAATCGTCAAGAGTTTCGTCAATCGCCAAGGTTTTGTCAAACAAGTATGTTGACGAAACCATTTCGCCATTAAGAAATAGTTTCGTCAGAAATATTAAACCAAGTACTTGGTTATACTTCGTGATGTTATTAATTGGTATGTGATGCTTTAAGTAGTGTTTGGATCCGTTCAAAAAATCTTATCCGGATTATCCGGATAAAAAAAAACCAAGGTTATCAAGATTATCTGGATAGTAGAATATATAAACTTATGTCTCGTAATGATTCATTTTAGAAATACACTATCTTAATTAGAATATTTAAAGTAATATTAGTTATTTTTTCACATTTAATTTTTACTTTAGGCGTAATCTTGTATCTGCGATTATCATGTTTACTGATACTTGATTTATCCCTCTAGCTGAATTTACCAAATAGAGCCAATGTTTAATCCGGATTTCAGCTTAAATAACGATATTTAAATGTATGTGATATTACAATTTGTAATATTTATGCTCATTAATTTACAGCTATTATCATAATTCCTGGGGCACCTGATAAAAATTGGCCGAACGATTTATCGGCTGATTCGGTCAATTATGCGATTTTTGGAATAATAGATTCAATAAATTGATATATGTGAGTGCCGCCAAGGGATAAACTTTTTATCGGGCTTTCAATTATATTTTGTACCGGGCACAATTCCTAATAATTAGATTTTGCCCAATACAAATATTGTTGAAAGCCAATAACAGGTTTCCTTTGACGACACTCGTATACGTAAGGCTACTTTCAAAGTATTTTCGCTGGCAAATAGTTGAAAAAAAAAAATGAATTAAGTCTATTTGGGGTGATCCTTTCATTTGGCACTGGATGTGTTCAATCATTTGAAATAAAGATCGTAAAATAATCATTATAATACAAAAAATAGCTTTTACTGCTATTTTCATAATTTCTGGAACACCTGCTCATTACCCGAAATCTTTTTAGTCGTTCGATAAATTACCTAACTCTCCGGAAATTACATCACTGCCTCCGGACTGAAGGTCTGAAAACAGCGATATAGTTTCCGGAGAGTTAAGTAATTTACCGAACGACCAAAAAGATTTCGGATAATGAGCAGGTGTTCCAGAAATTATGAAAATAGCTGTAATATACGAATAATGCCGAATTCATAAATTTAATCGAACCGGCCGAAAAAACTTTCGGCTAATTTTTATCAGGTATTCCCAAAAATTATGATAATAGCTGTAAAATTTGTAAAATTCTTGTGCACCATACGGCGTACAGTTCTCATAAATTCTGGGACAACATAGGTATCTGACTTCGATTGCTCAGAAACTTATCGAATTGATCATCTGAAATTTATTATTGTCCCGGAATTTATGAGAACAGCTGTAATAAAGCTATGGGTTTTACATAGTGATGGGAAAAATACATATTTTATAATAACATGCGAACGTTATATAAAATGCGCATGATATCGCATGCTATTATTTTTAGAATTTATATTTTCCCTTCGGAAAATATCTGATACGTGCCAAAATTTTTACCAAAGTCTTATGTTCATTCATTTTCTTTTCGAAGATTTTCGAGACTTTTGCATCCATATTCCTTAATTCCGCCTTACAATACGCTCCTTGGTCAAAATTATATATAATTTAATTTTCCTATGTAAAATTTTAGATGGGATAAAATGCACATGATTCCGAAACCTGCGCATTAATGCGCACGATTAAGGAATCACGCGCACGCACGAAACCCATCTCTAGTTTTACTGTAATATTGCATACACCCGAAAATAGTATATGTTAACGGATCGCCCGACGGATTGCCACAGTGATGATGACTTTGATCCGGATTTCCGATTTATCCGGTTATACACGATCCGGTTCCAAGCACTATAGGATAATTATGGTTGGTCATTAATATAAAGAAGAAATCGGCGTTGAAAAGAATTAAGAACACAAACCGTTCAAATATTATCAAAAATCTGATAGTAGTTTAATTTTAAGCTTTAACAAGATAACATGATAATTGGTAATCATCTAACTATAATGTGATTTTTATTTAATTCGATACAAGAAATTAATAATTTTTCGCACACATTAAGATATAAAATTAATTTAGAATCAAATTTATGTGGGTACTGTGTGAAGAACCAGTTATTGTATTTGGTATTATATTTAAATTAGTAATCCTATATACACAGATTTTATTCAAGAAACAGTTGATAAGGATAGTGAGTAATACCAATAATACCCGAATCTTAATCATGGGATTATTATTTTTGGGAATCCTTGTAAATAGTGGTCAACAATAATCGAAGAATCTTCCATTTTCATTGATCTCTGATTCGTCACTTCTCCATGGTCTACAGTACCTATTTTGTAATGTCGATATTGAATGATTTACATAATTGTCAAAAAATAATTATATATAATATTTTACTTAACCCGATTTAGGGTTTAAATGGACCTACATTTGAATTCATAACACAATATCGAATTATATTTTGTATAATTTTTATTGTAATGATTTAATTTATTCGCTTTAATTTTAATAATAAAGTAAAAAATTTGTGCTAATAAGGAATAAGTCACGTGTTTGCTTACCAGTAGAATCCACTATTTTCGAATACATAGGTTTAATTTAGAAGCTGTCCTAAATTATTTCTTCGAAAATTTTAAATTCCGAAAAACCCTATCTGCCAACTTTACTCACGTGTCATGAGATTATATTTATGCTATAAGTGATTGATTCAAATATAATGAATATAAAAAAAGGTCGTTTAAGTAAAACTAATAAAAAAAGCATGCGACATCGAAAGACTGACCTAAATTTATCTTTATATCGGTTTAATAAATAAGTTATTATAATCCTAAGTCATTTTTCAATTGGTAGAATCGCATTCAATTGATAATATGACAGAACATCTATGATTATACTGATCTTAATGATCCATATGAGAAAATAGCAATTAATGAATTTTGTTATTTAAATATGATTTTTAATTAATTGATACAAGCTTAATAATGTCGAATCCATGGCATATATTCAACAGTTTTATTTGTTTTTTACAATATATTTATTTTTGCCATTTTATATCAATGACTTAAATAAATATGCTTTTTGTAATATTATCAGAAGGTAATATTAATTGAATTTGATTTTATTATAATAAACTAATTTATTTTTAATATAGTTCTAGTACTTGAAATAGATAAGTCATTACATTGTAAAATTAACACTCATATGATCACATAAATACTAAGAACATTATTGTAAATACAACCAAATAAATTTTATGATGATAAACACATAATACGGCTATAAAATGTTAATACGTTTTAATTTATTCTCTTTTAGATTTTAGAGAACTTTGAGAATTTCTTCTATAAAATAAATAAAATAATTTAAAAATTTTGAATAAACCATAAATAAGACCACTAAATAATGTTAAAAACAGAATAAAAGCAACAATATAAACGTCTAAATAATTTCCTCTAATATAACCCATTCTTGAATCAGGTGTAATCCAATCTCTTAATAATATTTCATTATCAATTTTAAATCCACTACTTTCTTCACTTCCTTCAAGCCTTGCCGTATTCATTACAATTTCAATTAAATCAGCAGCTCTATATTTTCTTTTACTATTTACTTTAGCCAAAAATTGTAACCTTTCTGCATTCTTTTTAAAACTTATTTCATTTAATAATCTTTTAACTTTTGATACTATATCATTAACGTCTAAGTTAGTCTTTGAAATACTTAAAGCTATACCAGCAAGCTCTAATTTTTCAGCGTTTGCAGGTTGATCAGCCATTATAGGAAGTACTAGCATTGGTTTTGCATTATACATTGATTCATGACTGCTAGACGCACCACCATGACTTAAAAATACCTTTGTATTCTCATGTGATAGTATCGCAAATTGAGGAGCGTATTTAGTGACATGAAAATTAGGATGAGTATTATTTAAAATAGTAGACACAGGGATATCGAAATTATTTAATGAAAGCAATTCAGATGTATCAATATTTACAGTAGCCCATATTACACCATCAATAACATCTTGATCGATCAATTCAAGTAAAGATTTTAGAATAATTATAATGTTTTGAGGAGTTGTGATCACAATGGTTCCAATTGCAAAGTATAATGTTCGAGGATGAATTGCAAGAAATGAGTCCAGAGCCGATGATAGACCTGGATAAACGTCAGCCATAATAGGACCAACTTCTTGAAGGAGTGGTGTTTCAGCACTTGGTATCTGTACATACAATAAAATAAACATTATTGTAAGTATAAAATGTTATAGATCAATGAACTAATTTATCAATCAAAAACAAAACAAAAGAATTAATTATATAATCACCTCAAATCCAAAGAAAGTATCAAGTAACATTAATATATTTGATGTTCGTCCTCTTATGTCCCAATGTGGATCGACATCTACTTTTGCTCTTTGAGCGTTTAGATCCCTCAAAGTCTCTATAAAAATTGGAAAAACTTGTAAAGGCGCCATTATTGTACATCTAAACCTGTCATAGAACGATTCATTTTCCATATTCACATGACATCCAAGTAAAGGATCCGATTTATATGGAGCATTGGACGCTAATAAATATATATATAATATTATCGATTTAATATGTATTTTTTGTAAGTCATAAAATTCCATTATACACAATATTAACATTGCAATTATCGTACCAATGAGGGAGGAACTAATTCCAACAACTGGTTTTCCCAATTTCCAGGCGAGATCATAGCACGGGTAATTTGTTAAATAATCACAAAAAAATAAATCAGTATTAATCTCCTTTGCAGTTTTTTCATAGATATCATAAATAGGTAAATAAGCTGCGATAGCAATTTTGCGAAAAATTGTAAATGCTTTAATATATTCTTTATCAAAAAATGCTCTTTTTAAATCCAAATGAAAATCTTCATCAACTTTCACGTTTTCTACAATAATTTGAGGAATTGATTGATAAGCGAAGGATTTTGCGGTATAATTTCTTTGAGCTACTAATGTTACCTAGAAATGAAATGATAAAAATTATAAAAATGATAAAATCGATAAGTAAAATTATACCGAAATTAATAAAGTTTTTATTATATAATACTGTACGTGGAATATAATAATACATTATATCCTCGATCCATTAAAATCTTGCATATTCCTAACATTGAAGGAAGACGACTTCCTTTCATTATTAAATGAATTTAACACTTATGAGCCATAAAAAAACAATAATACATTATTAACAATACATAGAAATATATCAAGATAGCAAGCTTACCACTAGCCGAGGAAGCAGCTAGAATGTTTTTCGGTATATTACTCCTGTCCAAAGAAGAATCACCTTTAATAAAATCTGTAGATTCAAGAGACAGGCTTATAAAAAGGATAAAGACGGCAAATCGCCAAAAACTAAATATTGAAAATGAACCCATTTTTTTTGTATTTTTATTTTTATTAACAAAGATATTTTTAATTTTTAGTAAAACGGCAAATTTATAGTTAATAGTTAACTCTTAGGGTCAAAATGCATCGAATATATATGTCAGGAATTGAATTTAACTAATGGAAAATATTTTAACCGGACAAACGTACTTATAGTTAAGATAAATAAGTTACTGAACACAACACATGGCTTTTATAAGGAATAGCATTGCGCTAATGCAGTGAGCCTTTTGAATAATTATATTAGCACAAGATGTATATTGTATACTTTATAATATAGAGCACAATAAAAATATTATAGAACGGCCATTATTGATCATGAGTATTACCGGTACACCATTTATGTTATAAATCACTTTTTTTATTTCGTCATTCATGCAGTTTTCGGGCTAAACTATTATTCAAATCCGAAACGTTTCGCCTATAAGTCCGAAACCCTCCGAACCTAATTTCGCCTAATTTGATCTGCAAATGATCCGAAACCTGCATTCATACAGTACTTGTTATTTTACACGATGAACGTCATCCATACTTATATTATATTGCACTATACGAATTAAAGAGGTTTAAAAAAAACATAAATAGTATAATTTATGATCAACGACCGCCGTACTATAATACGAATACGTATAGCATGATAATTTTGAGATACATAGCGCGATAATTTTTCTGATTATTCAGAAAATCTGCCTCTCGGCATTTTCTGATCAAAAAACTATTACTGTACCAACCTGATGTTATCTCATATCGTCATACTATGTTATATAAATATTAAAAATACGGATATCATGCACACCTTTTTTTTGTTAGTAGGTAATAAAAACATCAGAATACGATTTATCGTTATGCAATATCTGATATATAGATTAATATTTAATTGAATAGGCTTTGACCACAATTTGGACGTAAATCGACAAATCAAAAAAAAAAAAAAAAATCAGATTAAATTTCTTTGAACAAACGAAAGTCTCGATTAATCAGCACGGCAAAAAATCCAAAGACAAAAAAACTAAAAAGCAAAAAAAACAAACTTGCAATGTGAATCTACAGTAGGATGTCGTATTTCATAATATTTTGATATTATTTATAACGGTATGAATAAGTTTATTCATTAGTTTTTCTACTAATGCTCAGCTCAGCTTAACTTGAGCATAAGCAAGAGACTATATACAACGTGATAAAATTTGTAATACGGAGGTTTTCCTTTTTTATGCGTTAAATAAGATAGTAACGGTAACGGTAACATTAGTATTAGTTAATCACAGTAACGATAAACAGTGCAAAATGAACCTAATTTAGAAAATCAAGTTTCACA